CCCCAAAGCCCCAGTAGATAGTTGTATGTCATAGTTGCACATCCTTCTAGTTGCTGTATGTGGGACGCGGCCTCAGCATGGCCGGAGAAGCAGTGTATCGGTGCGCGCCCGGGATCCGAACCCAGGCCGCCAGCAGCAGAGCGCGTGCACTTAACTGCTAAGCCACGGGGCCGGCCCTCTGTGCTTATTTTAAAAGGTCTTTGATTTTAAAGAGTGGCTGTTAGTTACTTTTTTATAATATGCCCTATGAAGACCCATGCCAGCTTGAAAAAGGGCAAAGCAATGAAAATGGGCCACCACAAAAGCAACTGGGCAGCTTTTATCTGAAGTGTGGATAAAAGAAAAAAAGAAAGGTTTTCAAGTGAATAGTTCATTTACACCTACAAAAAGCAAGGTCTGGACTGAAGGAAGGTACTATAATCATAGAATAGTCTCTATAATAAGACCAAGTACTCTAAAAAATATAATGTAGGCTACTTCAGTTCAATTTATTGTCCTTATAAATATGCCCTTAACCTCATTTACTCAAAACATATGCTTTTAAAGATTATTAGAGGTACAATAATTCTTAAGACTTTTAACCCTGAGAAACTGGCTTCCATGTAAACATCAAAAATTACTCCACAGACTCAATTATTGCAATAATTAAGATGATTGCAATCTCAAGAGGTGGAAACACAGATATAAAAGATAGTGAATCAGAAAAACACACAGAACTTCAAGTCAGTCTAAACCAGAATATCCTATAAGGCTCGAGCAGGAGGGGCCTTGTCAATAGGGCCTTGTCAAACCGCTCACGTTCTCTACATTGAGATATACCGTATCCCTGGGAAAAGTCCTGTCTTCCTATCCCAGCCTGCCCCGCCCCCATGAGAAAGAGTGCTCTGGAGAGGGAGTTGCTGCTATTTCCGAAAGTTCTCTCTTTCCTGTGTGTGCTGGAAGAGAAAGAACCACAAATACAGGAGAGGCTAAATATTTTTTAAAGGTTAAATTCTAAGTCTCATATAATCTCTACTAGAAATACAAACGTGATTCACGGCTGAATTTCTTCTTTGCCGACTTAGGATCACAAGTGTTGCCTCTAGCGGTCCTTTCAGAACGTTAAGTAAAACATTTTGAGTTTTGAAAAATAAAAGCAGAATAGACTCCACTTGTCTGTCTTATGGGAAAGGATCTGCTAATTTGTCATCTCTCTTGATGGCCCAGAAAATTACTTTGGGTCAAGGGCCACATGACAGGTATTTTTTTGTTGGTTGGTTTGTTTCTTGAGCTTCAAAGACTGTATGCAAAGGGATGCATCAATAAAGTAATAAGATTATATAGAATTTGGAACCTGTATCTTCAAATGAGTGTTAGTCTTCAAAAGAATTACTTTGTGAGAACTATCCACTTATTTCAAGTGTTCAGTATATTCCACAGATTCTTCTTTTGTAATAGATTTCTAAGGAAGTCTATTTTACTACACTATAATAACACCTTATATTAAGGGAAAACCTCAATTTTTGACCCAACTTACTGTCTTGCTCACCAAACAGTTCTGAATTACTATTAAATCTCTACATTACAAATGAAGACATATGAAAGACACTGAAATTTGGAAAAAGACAGCATCATTGTAGCACACATGGAGTTTCCTGTAATGACCCATTGATGAAATTATACTCATTTGGATTGATTAAAAAGAACCAACAAGGGGCCAGCCCATGGCGTAGTGGTTAAGTTCAGTGCACTCCACTTGGCGGCCCAGGTTCAGATTCCAGGCATGGACCTACACCACTCATCAGCCATGCTGTGGTGGCGACCCACATACAAAATAGAGGAAGATTGGCACACATGTTAGCGCAGGGTGAATCTTCCTCAGCAAAAAAAAAAAGGAACCAACAACAATCATTTTGCAAACAAACAAAAAGGCTGTATATAAAATATGAAGAAAATAGCAGTGAAAATATTTCAGGATGGCTCTTGAAGTTTCCCAGTTAACCCATTTGAACTTTTGGATTGATCTACAAAGTTTAAAAATTTGTGTGATTTGACTAATTACTGGAAGAACTGTACTACTTAAAGGCATCAAATAGCTACTTGCATTAAAAAAAATGTGTTCGGGCCGGCCCCGTGGCTTAGCGGTTAAGTGCGTGCACTCCGCTGCTGGCAGCCGGGTTCGATCCTGGGCGCGTACGGACGCACCGCTTCTCTGGCCATGCTGAGGCAGTGTCCCACATACAGCAACTAGAAGGATGTGCAGCTATGACATACAACTATCTACTGGGGCTTTGGGGGAAAAAAATAAATAAATAAAATTATAAAAAAAAAAAATGTGTTCATGATTACATTTCAGGATATTTCCTGGAAGGATAATTATTGGAGGAGATGCTGTTGGTGCCCCACCCAGACCCTCTTCACCAGGCTTGTGCACAGGTCCCAGCTGTGGGAGTGTTGGCTGCTATGAGCTCAGAGCTGCCTCCTTCTCCAGGGAACTGCCTTCATTCAAAGGGAGCCACCTCACTCGGCACTATCTGGGAGGCTGTCCTTTCCCTCAGGGGACAGGCCTCAGCCAATGACAGACTGACGGATACAACAGCCTGGCCTCCTTGCCTCTCTGGAGCCATTAACGGTCTAGAGCTCCCTGTGAGATGAGGCGGAAGCTAGGCTTCAGCTGAACCCACCTCTTTGCCTAGCTTTTCTCCTGCTCTAGTATATGCCCCTCACTCTCTTCCAGATTTCACCTGAGAGAACTCCTTCACTGTATAACTGAACAAGAAAGCCCATCGCAAGCTCTACATCTACAAAACCCAACCCAAGACAATTATGATCCTAGATAACAGGAGCAGTTTAAACTCTGAAGCAATATTTAAATAAAAAGCAAATACAATAAACACTACACTACCTTGACAGGATGAAGATTTGTTGTGGTGATAATTTTGTGCAGTGGGCCCGCTAACTTTGGGGGCAGTTTCGGTTCTTTATCCAGTCCCTGGGGTTTAGTGTAATAATCCAGTCTCTCTCGAGGAAAGAAATTGTTGATTATAGTCACACAATCATGTTGACCTTTTAATAGAAAAACAGGAAATTTGTTACTTTATTATTCAAAATAAGACACTTTCCACTTTTTTATTAATTATATTGCTCTGTTTTCTTGCGCCGTAAACAGGCATCACCATCTTTAGTTTTCAGGAAAGGAGAGTACAGGAGGAGGAGGAGAGGTAAAATGTTTTGGGGAACATTTATAAGCATGCTTTGTGAAGTCAAGAAATAATTTCCTTTTAAAGACACAGAATCCACAATACATATGAAGATTATGTGGATTACCAAAAAAGCAGTGTTAAACTTATGATTGACCCTAAATATTTTATAAAAGTTGCTTATAATTTAAATGTCTCTTCATCCACCCCTACACAAATGATGGTCATTCTTCCCTAATCACATCTGGCTTTCTTTATACAGAATTTAAATTTATTCTATATAAATTTTTTTATCATTATAATTATTATTCATATTATTAAACTAATCTCCCCTCTCCTTGAATCTGAGAAAAGCCTGGCCTCTTTGTGAAATGAATTAGAGAAAAAGCTTTTGCTCCCATAAACTTGGAATCCACATTATGACTTCTCATAGATGCCTGCACCACTTCTCTAAGCCATCTCTAGAGGTAAAAATGGTTCTATGAAAGCAAAACCTTCCCTGGTGAAGTTGGTGGCTTGAAGTGTGTTCCTGTTGCCTCCCCCTCCTCAATTCCCTGTCCACCACCTCTCTGGACCAAGGAAGTGGCCACTCTAGGCAGGCAGGCAGAACCTGCAGGGCACATTTGCAGGCGCAGGCTCTTCCAGGATCTCTGGAAGAGAGACTTCTTCCTCCTCTCTGCCTGACGAGGGCCAAGGGACCAGCAATGGAGAGTCTTAGGGAGCAGGCCCAGAGGCCGAGGCTGGTCCGCCCTGGGCGGCCCATGTGGCCCCTGCCCACTTATGCACGGTCCTGGGAGCATCTGCTTGACCTTGCCAACAGCAGGTGACCTGCAGGGGGATTGCACTGTGGGCCAGGTGGATCCTGGTACTTGAGGCTGGCAGAGGGCTCTGTTTGCCTGGGAGTTCCTGGCGAATCCAAGAGTGGAGTGTCTTCCCACTTGTGTCTCAGCAGAGGACAAAATATCTATGGTTTGTTGACCCTGGGCCCACGTGTATAGAGATGGTGGCACTTCCCTCCGCTGCTCCAGGACCCTGTCAGCTTTACCTCACTGCCTAGGAGATACAAAGCAAAGTACCCGAGGGGATCCAGCATCTCAGAAGACTATGCAATGCCTCCAACAGATGGCTTCTTTGCGGGGGAAGTGTATTGACAACATCAACCGCAACCCAACCACAACCACAATCACCAAAAAAGAACACTTAAAAATTAAGCAGATTAATTACCGTATATAAATAGACTTTCATGGACCACAGAAAAATTCAAATTTTAAAAGTTAATAGACAAACTGAAAGTGGTAATCCTGGTTACTATTGAGAACTAAAATACTAATGTAGAAGATGAAGTGGATAAAATATCTCAAAATAGAAAAATTAAGAGATAGAAATCATTACAGAAGAGATGAGAGAGTTAAAGGACAGATCCAGGAAATGTAACAGTGAAAAATAACAGAAATCTCAGAAAGAAAAAAAAGAAATGAATGGAGGATTAATAATTAAACAAATGATAGAAGAACACCTCACCACTTTGAAGGGAAATTTGAGCAGTGATCACAGTATCATTTTTGGTATTCAATGCTATTCTCAACTACTGAAACACCAGTTTCTTTTTTTTTTTTTTTTTTTTTTTTTAAAGATTTTTTTTATTTATTTTTCCCCCCAAAGCCCCAGTAGATAGTTGTGTGTCATAGCTGCACATCCTTCTAGTTGCTGTATGTGGGACGCGGCCTCAGCATGGCCGGAGAAGCAGCGTGCTGGTGGGAGCCCGGGATCCGAACTCGGGTCGCCAGCAGCGGAGCGCGCTCACTTAACCACCAAGCCACGGGGCCGGCCCCTGAAACACCAGTTTCTTTTTCTTGTTTTTTTTAATCAGAAAGCTCCATTGTATATATCTTGAGGAGAAGTCAAACTGTAATAAGATATATTAAAAATCTGAGATGTTGTGTTTAGAAAAGAATCATCTCTACCTCCATAATCTTCAAAAAGGGAGAAAAATGACAATCAAATCTCCTACTGCAAGTGGGATATGAACAGGACAGCATCAAAATGAACACAGATGTGTTCAGGGATTTACCACTGTATATGAAGAAACTAGGGAAGATGAAGACAAATTGCACTGCTTCCATAAAACACAATCTACATCCAGCTTCGGTAAAAAGATAGACGTCCCTATTGAAAAAAAAGTGTTCTAAAGTAGCTCCTAAAAAATATCAAAATAGACATAGGAAGATTTGAAGAAAAAAGGAGTCAGAGAAAAATATGGAATTATTTCTATAACTATATCTTCTCATCAGTCCCCCAACTAGTATAGTCAGAAAGAGTCCTGTTAGCCACTGGAAATATTTGTACATAAAAATACTAGCTATATAACAATGACGCTGTCACAGGACTAGGGGCTTCTTAAGATTACAACACCTTTGTGAGAAGGAAAAAATAATATTACTTTACTTTTTTTCAAGATTAATCTTTTTCATTTTAGGTAGTGTTTAGGTTATTTTGATATTTTATTTTAACTAATATGCTAATAATTTATATTAGAGTGATACATATATTTAAAGTTTACCTTTATAAATTTTTACTTAATTTATATTTAAATTTTTATAATTGAAACTATTAAATATTTAGTTTTATTGGTTTTTAATTTATGAATTCTGAATATAAAGAAATAAAATAGTACTCTTATAGGGAAAATCAATGCTGTGGGGGGCGGGGGAACAAGTGCATCGTTCTGCTCCAGTATCACTATCACTGGGCTTGAGTCTTGCAGGTTGAACAGGCTGAGTCAGTCCTAGGCAGGAGTAACGAAAACACACACACAACTAGACACATCCTAGTAAAATTTTTTACTTTCAAGGATAAACTCAAATTGAAACACACTTTCAGAATGAGAAATTAAAAGTTTACAAAGGAAAAGAAATCAAATTCTCATTCGCAAAACCAAGATTTAGAAAACTGTAGAGTAACCTATACATATGATTGAGCGCAAAGAACAGTGATACAAGAATCACGAGACAAGCCAAGATATGACTCACGTTTCAGAAAGAAAGATAGTTTTGGTTATGATGGGTTTCAAACAATATACGACCTACATGCCATCTGAGAAGGTCCTGTAACCAGAACCTAAATGAGAACGGAGATCTCAAGATGGAACAAGGAGAAAGGAGGGGAGAGAGTGGGGAACAACAGCTCTCAGCAGCAGACATAGTTAATCTGAATGGGTGGAGATAGCAGGATGGAGAAATTATACTGTTGACCATGAGAATTACTGAAAGAGAAGTAACACACCATGAATGACACTCTAATCACATATGGGTACTGAAAATACCAAACCCTCTCAGCAAAGTCTGCAGCTAGTGGTGGTGGTGGTGGACAAAAAGAAAGGCCGTTGCCTGACAAGGCAAAAACAAACAACCTGGAGAAATAAATGAGTCACAAGGATTTCATTTTGTTGGGGCTGCTAAATGGGCAAATACAGTGACTTGGGGGTGGGGCATGAGGTATAGTTTTGTTCTTGTTTTTAGATAATAACTGAGAAATATGGGTTTTATTGGGAGTGTTGTGAATAGAAAAGTAACCACTAGTGGAATGAAAAAGCATTCTTCATCTTTCAAGTTAACAAAAGGAGAAAGAAAATGTACTCTAACATGACCAAGCCAATCATGTTAAGGAAACACGTTTGCACACACAAGCAAAAACAACCATCAAGTAAGATAAGAGTAAAAAAATGAGGTAAAAGAGGAGGAATGCAATCAAGTTTATGAATAATTATATTAATTGTGCATGAGCTGTATATCTGTTAAAAGAGAGAGACTACTATTTGAGTTATAAAACAGAACCCACCCATATGTTTGTAAACATAAGGTGTAGTAGTAGTTACACAACTAAAATTAAATGACAAAGATTGAAAATAAAGGGATGGGCAAAGAGTTGTTGACAAATGCAAAAAAGAAGAACAAAAAAGCAATCAGGAATGGCTATAACATCAGAAAAAGTAGAACTAAAAAATTAAACAAGACAAAGAGTGGCATTATGCAATGGTAAAACTGTTATCATGATTAATAGCAATATCATAATGAAAAGTAAAAAGCTAAAAATATTTCCATTAAAAAACAGGAAAAAGACAGACATGCCAATTATCACTATTATTATTTCTTCTTACTTTAAAGCCTGAAGCTAATTCAAACGGAAAATAAAATGAAATTGAATAGTCATAAAACCCAGGAGACTCTAATAAAAATGACAAGAAAAAAATAGAAATCAATAGCCTTCTCTTTATTACCCATAACCAGCTAGAAATGACAGAGTATTGGAGGTGGTGGTGGGAATTCTCCTTACAATATGGGCAATAACTACAAATTACTTAGAAATAAATTTTTTTAAAAACGTGATTTAATTTAAATAAATTTTAAAACAAAGAACTGATATGAAGGAATCTAATAAATATTATTGAAGGATCAAAAACAAGTTAAAAAAAAAGGCAACATAAAGGCATACTATGTAATTGGATGGGAAGTCTTAACATCATATGGATGTCAATTCTCTGCAAATAATTATATAACCATTTAATAAAAGTCCAACAAGAAATGAAAAGGATTGGGGGGGGTGTGTGTGGATTGTATTCAAAGAGGAATAAGAAAGAGGACACTTGCTTCACTTGCAAGTCAATATGATCAAAACAATATGGTATTCATACAGAAAGTGACAACATCTGAGGAAGAGAATACTGGATCTAGAAATAGATACCAGTACATAAAAGAATTTAACTTACCACAAAAATGCTATTTCAATTCAGTGGGAAAATGTTGAGTGGTTTAATAAATGGTGCCACCACAGTTAACTATATATCCAGGGGGAATGGAACTCTAAAAAAATAAATTTTAGAAGTACAAAAAAATTTTTTTCTAAAATCTGAAGGACATTTAGGAGAATACTTATTTATCCCATGGTAAGAAGATCTCTTTTAGCAAGATAAGAAACATGGAAGCTATAAAAGAAAAAATATGACTACTTAAAAATAAATTTTCTATGGTAAAAGTTCCCATAAAGTCAAAAGAAAAACAAGACTGGCATAAAATATTTGAAACAAATTTGATAGAGAAGGGGTTAGCATCCATAACACACATAAAACTTTTCAAAGCAATTAAAAAAAAGACAACATAAAGGAAATATTAGTAACAAATATGAGCAGGCATCCACAGAAGAGAAAATACAAATGACCAAAACCAGAAGCTTAATTTCATTAATAATGAGGGGAAAGTAAATGCACAATATACCATCTTTTCAACTCTCAGATTGGCAAAAATGAAAGACTGAGAATACGCAGTTCTGAGAGGATGTTAATGGGGACGTGAATTGCTGTGCCCATTTGGAAAGCTATCTAGACTTACATTAAAATTAAAATACATTCTCTTTGTCTCAGCCATTTTACTTCTGGGAATATATCTTATAGATTTTAAAGCATTACCATGTAAAAATGTAAGATCAAGGATCATTTCATTATTTGTAGTGAAGTGATTTAAAAACTGTAAAATCTATCAATAGGGGAGAGCTACATGAAATATGGTACATGTGTATTGTGCAATATTATGCAGCTGTTGAAATAACTAAATTTATTTATACCTACTGAGATGAGAGGGACCTCCGTAGTGTACTAGTAAGCGAAGAAAACAAGTTACAAGAAATATATTTGTGAGATCACATTTTAAAAAGATGACAAAAATCTTGCATGTGTGTGCACCTATGTATATACACTGACCCACTTGAGGGGAACATGGGGAGGATGAGCTTTTTAAAAGACTAAGGAAAATACAATGTCACCTGAAAGGGTGCAATGTAATTTTCTGTTTATGAAATTAGTCTAAAAAGATTAAAATGGAATGAAAACATTACCCTGATTTTAGGATGGGATTGTGGACAAAATCTACCTTGGATTTTTAATAATACAGTAGTAGTAAGAAAAAGAAAAGAGTATTGTACTAATGCTTGAAAGAACCAGCTCCTCCACTTCCAGCCCAGTGATCTGGGGAAAGTTACTGAACCTCTCTCTGAGCTCTCTTTTGTTAACATTGTGCACATAGTAAAACTTGTAGAGTTAAATAAAACTTCAGATCATCTAACTCCCCAACCTCTTTGAACAAATCAGAAAACTGAAGCCGTGAAAGTGAAGGGATTTGCTTATGATCTTATGAACTAATTAGGGACAGACAGGAACTAAAAGATGAGTCTCAAGATTCCTAGTTTAGCGTTCTTTTCTCACTGCCCAGACACCTTCAAAATTAGCTTAGAGGTGAATCAGGGGCAACCAGGGAGCCCCTAACAGTAGGAGAGAAATATTGCCCTGAAGTTTGCATAGCAAGGCTATACCTTTCTCAAATCCTCCTGAAACTGAATTAAAATAAAAAAGAACATTTGCTCTCAGAGAGCTGTCATAAAGTAAGTCAGGGACTGTCTGACTTAATCAACAGTAGCTACTATTAGTAGTTTTAAGATAATTTAATAATAAAATTTAACACAATATACAGTTACCATTCCCCATATCTGACTAATTCCCACTACATCTCAGCTTAAATGTAATTTCCCTTGAAATTCCCTTAGAATGGGATAGAAGATCCCTCTCTTTGATGTATTTCTATGAAGCACTTAAGTCACCCATTGGAGTATACTTTCACACTGTCTGACATTGCTATTAGTCTCTTCGTGCCATGAATGCATGTACAGTCTCTGTCTTGTTCACGACTGTAACCAAAGCACCTACAGTGATGCTTGGGATATAGGCTGTGAACATTAACTATCTGTTTAATGAATTATTAGTCCCCACAAGGCCACTTACTGCACTCCCAATAAATCAGATGTTTCTATCTTTGCTTCTCTGTTAAGGGACTCTCCTAACTGCCAACTCAGTGGGGCCAAAATAGCAATGATCAAATATTCACTCCCACTCTTCTTTTTTTTTTTTTTTAAATAACTACTTAACATATTGAAGTTTTCCCCTTTTGGTCCTACATTACTGGGTTTTTTTATTTTTTTTTGAGGAAGAGTGACCCTGCACTAACATCTGTGGCCAATCTTCCTCTTTTTCTTTTTTCTCCCAAAGCCCTAGTACATAGCTGTATATCATAGTCGTAGAGTTGTAGTTCTTCTATGTGGGATGCCACCTCAGTATGGCCTGATGAGCAGTGAGGAGGTCCAAGCCCAGCATCTGAGCCAGTGACCAGGTTCAAAGAGGGCCGCCAAAGCGGAACGCGCAAACTTAACTGCTATGCTACCGGGATGGCCCCCTCTCTCACTCTCTTCTAAACCCTCTACATTATGTCAAGTAAGTAACAGGATTAACATATCAAGAATTATTCGGCACATACAATAAAATGTTTGTGGTGATGAGGATGATAATGAAGCAGCTGTATATTATATTATTATTAATGCTCCTTCCTAAGGAAGAATTACATCATTGTTGTAATTATTATTAACAGCAGTAACTGATGGCATTGATTTAGTGCTACATAAAGCTCTTTAAGTCTATCATCTTATTTAATCCTTTCAACAACCATGTAACCATTTTACATGAAGGTCAGAATCCTTAAGTAACTTGCAATTAAGTGGCACAGCCAGAATTTCAACCCAGGATTGCTGACTCCACAGTTCATGTTCTTAAACATTAGGTTATACTTCCCTTAGAGAAATAAAACACACTCACTCAAGCATTTGACTGCAACTAAAATGGCCCCACCACTCTCTGTATCTCACAGAGTGAAAATTCAAAAAAGCTTGTTCATTTTCTCCAAAGTGTCATTAGGTGTTTCACTAAGTTAGACAAAACTGTAAACATTTTGCTTTTTAAAAATTAAACATGACAGTATTTGTACTCCGAGAAGCAAACTGGTATTTTTTCCACAGGGGAAATTCTGAATATAACCTAATGTAAAACTGCCATAAAAACTCACCCACAGGGGCTGGCCTTGTGGCGTAGCGGTTAAGTGTGCGCGTGCTTCACTGCTGGCGGCCCGGGTTCAGGTCCTGGGCGCGCACTGACGCACTGCTTGTCAGGCCATGCTGTGCTGGTGTCCCACATAAAGTGAAGGAAGATGGGCACGGATGTTAGCTCAGGGCCAATTTTCCTCAGCAAAAAGAGGAAGATTGGCATGGATGTTAGCTCAGGGTTGATCTTCCTCACAAAAAAAAACAAAAAACAAAACAACTCACCCACAAAGGCTGCCATCTGAGCTGCTGTTCTTCCTACGGAGTTAACAACATCTGTCTCGGCACCAGCTTCCAACATTACCCACGTGATGTCTTTATTACCTAGAGTAAAAAGGGAACTTGTTTGTTAATATTAAGAAAGGCACAATCCAAATACTTCCTTCTAAATAATCTGTACCCTTTTTTTCCACTTAGTTTTAGGTTTCCATCTTGTGAATATGTTCATTTTTCTCCAAAATATAAATCATAATTACAGTAAAGAGTAAAATGCTACAGAACCCACATAGAAATTAACCTTATTTTCTAGAAAACACATCAAGCAATACAAAAATGGTATGGAATTGAGTATCACTTTTTTTAACAAAACAAGTATGTTTTTCCTAATAATACTGCTTAATATAAAGCCAAAACCACAAAAAATATCAAAAACAAAGACAGAAGAGATAAAATGACTAGAAGTCCCCCCTTAATATCTACTAACCCATCCCATCCCTCATACCTCTAGGCCCTGGAACAACTATTAACAGCTGGGGGTCTATCTTTCTACACTTTTTTCTAACTAAACATCCATAGTTATTCCATTTGCATTCTTTCACTAAGGAAATAATTACAGGTATCTTGCTATTATAAACTATACTCAGTGAACAGCATTTTCTATTAATTTTTCCAAGTTTGAATTATGATTTCCTTAGGAACAGTTCCTGGAAAACATTGCAGGATCAAAGGTTATACATATGTTAAGTGCATTGTGTCAGGCTGCCTTCCACAAGGCTGGGTTGATGTACACTCTCCAAAACAGAGCAAAGAAGTCCCTATGCCAATGCTGGGCATTATCACTCCTTCTTAACCTTTGCCAATATGATAAGTGACAAATGATCATTTATTGTTCCAATTTCCATTTCATTGATTACTGGTGGAAGTGTTCCATGTTTATGAGCCGGTTGTATTTCTTTTGTTCTCTGTTCAATTTTCTATCCAATTTTCTATTGTAGTATTTGTTGTTTTCTAATTGATTTATATAAGAACTCTTCATATATAATGATATTACCCTGTAGGATATGTAATAAATATTTTCCTTAGTTTTTTATTTGTATTTTAACTCTATGTATGATATATCCTATATATGGAAATGTTAAAATTTTATGTAATCAAATTGGGCAATGTTGTCCATTTTGAATTCTATATTTTATACCATGCTTAGAAATGCTTTCCTGTTCCAGGATTTTAAAAATACAGATTACTAGTTTTAAAGTATGATAGTATTATATTACATCTTTATTTTCTTAAAAAACTGTAGCAATTACAGATAACTCCACTTAATTTTAGATAATATTTCCCAATTGTCTTTATTCAGCAAATCATAAGCAACATGAATCAGAGTAAGTTTCTAAATGGATCATCATATTTAGTATATAAATGTCAGTGAAGCAAATAGACAGCTCTATCATAGCAGCTATTTTCTCAAGAAAACAACAAAGAAGTTTTCATATTACTTCAAAATATAAAGATATAAAATATCAAAGGAACTAACTTGAAAGTATAATAGCTCCAGCTCCACAACTTTACACAAAATATATTGTCAATACAAAGAATCAATTGATTTAAATAACTAAAGAAACATCACCAAATTAACTATATAACATATTTCATACATTACAGCTTTTTAAAACTAATTCCCACCATTTTTTTCCATAAGATTTAATCTTAAAATTACTATAATAAAGGTGCATATAATTTTAAAAAATATATGTACTTATAACAAATTTGTATAGGCGACTAATATCAATACATTAAAATAAATGACAAAACTTCACCAGAAAGTGCAGCAAACATGAGGGCTGTGTATCCATGTTCATGTTGATGACAATTTACATCAGCTCCGTGTCGTAAAAGTAATTTGCACATATCAAGTTTTCCTTTATATGCAGCATGCATTAGAGGAGTCATTCCATTCTTCAATAGGAAGGAAAAAGATATTAACTATACTTATTTACCTTTCCCCCTATCTTTGAACAATTCCTGCAATTAAATTAAAAACATAAAATAAACACGAATTAATAAAATCATCTTTATAATCGGTAGAGTATTTTTATATTCACTTTCCCACTTGGATCCTCCAAAAACTGCTGAGGAAAAAAGATGGTTTTATTACCTGAGGTTTTTCTACAGATTAGCAAAAAGACTCAGAGAAGACTTGCTCAACCTCACATGACTAGTAAAATGGCTGGGGCAGGGACCAGAAACCAAATTTACAAGGGCTCTCATCTCTACGATACACACTTAGCTTCTGGAGAAACAAAGGAACAAGCAGATACAAATGCATAAAAAAATAAATAAATAAATAAATAAACACTAAGAAAAAATCTCAAAACAAATAGAATGTGTACAAGGGGAAAGTTGAATAAAGTATGGTATATCCATAACATGGAATATTATGCAGCTATTAACTGAATTCATCTGTATCTATTGAATTGGAGAAATTTCCATGAATTACTGCCAATGAGAAAAACAAGACATGGGAGATATATATTATAGTGATATCACTTTAAAAACAATGATCCCCAAAATCACATTTACATTTTGATCCTACATATGACTTGGTCATATATATGACTATATAAACATGGAGAAGTGGTTGGTGGTATTTACACCAGACTACATTGTTTAATCTCCATATGTTTTGTGCATATCCAACAAAACATCCAACCTTAAATGTTGAGTATCTAAAACTATTTGGTGGATAAATAAACAAGCTGTTCCCTGTAAGTTTCTCAGTAACCCAGGATAAACTCTATAAGTGCTAGAATTTCAACGTTGTTTTGGATAATAATCTCTCTAAAACATATAATCTCTTACATTAGTAAATCTTAGAATGCTAACATAATTTGAATTGTTCTTGATGATTCTAGACTACTATTATGAACATATGCCATCAATATTCTCAGGGAGTTGCTGATGTGAGAATTATAAGGAGGCTGGGACCTTTCAGGTGGTCATACAAGAGGCAATTCAGTAGGAATAGTCAAAGTTTCTCGAGAGCAGTAATGGAAAAATGATAAGATTATAATGTTAAGACTCTCTTATTGGGTGTGATACCAGCTCAAGACAAGGTTGACATAAGGGAAGCCATATTGTAGAAAAGAAAAACTCTATTGTAACTTTGAATGACCTCTGACAAACTAACCCAGCTGGATATGCACCCTCCAGGAAATCTAACTGCTCTGTAGATTTTATGACCCCTGCTTGTGCATTTACCTCCCAGCTGCGATAAGGTGATAACTGCTTTTTTGAGTTCCTTAGGAATGTGATGACCCCTGAACAGAGAGTCTATGCTGATAGCCATCCTCAGTGAAAACTGAAAGATCTGGTGTGGCACTCCCAGTCTGTAACACCAGAAGGTCAACATTCCTAACCCCCTCCTCAATAACCCAATGGCCTATATAACTACTGTCAGATTTTGTGCCCCCTTAAGATGGTTCTTTTGGACATGAGTCGGCCATCTTCCCTCTTGCTAGCAAGCTGTAATTAAAAGTCCATTTTCTCCTACCACCTTGCCTCTTGCCACTATTGGCATGTCTTGCGGCGAGCAGAAGGCCCCATGTTGGGCGGTAACAGGTGTATCTACAAGGATGGGGTATTTAAATGTTGGGGGTGGTTGGTTGGGTGTGAATAATCAAAATCTCATTGTACAGAGGCAGCCAATGGAGTACTTTAAGGGAGTGAGAATGGACTATATGGTCATTACCTTTTGAATGAGGCAAAATGTATTCAGAGCTTGCCTAGGGTGATAGCCCCTAAAGGACGATATAACCTGTACGTAAGAGGCTCGTGTGTAGCCTGCGGAGAAAGGAAGGACACAGTGCAGGTGGGCAGTCAATCACCCAGCAATCCCATCCTACAACTAGAAGTTATCTAGCTCTGAGAATGATTATTCCTGAGACTGCAGAACTGTCCCATAGTTTAAAAAAATTAAAAAAGCAGCTTTCAACACAATATGACAATATGCTTAAGAGCAAAGCAAATGTGCAAAGCTTTGGGATCTGATATTGTCCTCAGTTTCTTATGTCTGCTTGTGTTTTAACTGTCATCTGTGTTAATCACTTCTGCCCATTTACCTGTTGCCTCCCTTTCCTCTCATTTTTTAAAAAAAACTTTTCTCTCTCTTTCTCTTTTCTTGTTTGCTCTTTCCTGTTGACTAGCTGTCTTCTTTGCAGGGACTGGTTTTTAGAGCCAACCAATGAGAGAGCTTCTTTCCAAAGAGGTAATGAGCTATCCCAATCATATCATTTGCTGTGCAATCTCTGAACCTGTCGCTTTTGTCATGTTTATAACACAGTGTATGTATTTCCCATATCAAATTTCAGGGCTCGGTATTAGAAGCCAAACTTGTGAGAAATGACAAATTTATACTAAGCTTTTCAAACAAGTGGGTATCACATACACTTTCCCATCTCTTAGTTCAGTTTTGGGTTATAAGAATTTAGAATAATGCAAAGAAAATTATAAATTCTGAGTGCAGTGATTAGTATGCATTATCTTACTTCTAGTACTACCTGTTATTCGTGGAAACATTTAAATGGATAAAGAAAAAAAGAAGTGATGTTAATAAATTCTGATGTTCCATACAGATATAAAGCTACCATACTATAAACTTTCTAGTCTTTCTAGTATTTTTATAGTATTTCAGTGTAAATATCAAAAAACCAAATTGAATAATTCAAAACAATACTGCTAATCTACTAGAAGAGAATATTCCCATGTTTAAAATAGTTAAATTAAATTTTAAATGTCATATTCTACAAACAAACACATAGACACAGAGAACAGATTGGTGGTTACCAGAGGGGAAGAGAGGTGGGGGAAGGGTGGAAGAGGTAAAGAGGCACATTTGTACTGTGACGAATGGCAACTAGACTTTAGGTGGTGAACACGATGCAGTCTATAAAGAAGTAGAAATATAATGATGTACAACCGAAATTTATACAATGTTACAAACCAATGTTACCTCATTAAATAAAGTGTCATGTTCTAGTTATAAATATGGAATAACTTAGTATCAGATAGAAAAATAAAATACTCAATGTCCATCTCTGCTCAAATTAGGAAGGCAGTGATAAGGTCTCATAAAATGTTATATGCAATCATCTCTTCTAAGAAGCATTTCATTTCATATTTTAACATCTCTGAAACTGAGTTGTACTTTACAAATACTAGAATCTTATAAATTACCATCAGTCTCCACTTCCCTCATTTTTTAATATCTCTGAAATCTGGATGAGTCTTAAAAATCTATGACATCATAGATTCGATGAAATCTAAGAGTAAAAATTCTCACCTCCTGGTCATTTCCCAAAGACAACCTTGGAAGAAGTCTGCTTAACTAAATTGCATGAAAAATGAGCTGCTACAATTCTTTAGATACAATGACCCTAAAAATAATTAAAGTTTCTCTCCTATAAATCTTAAATCAAAGAATTCATCAATATTAGTCTATTAGGTGACAATTCTATATCATTAAATACAGCATGCATTCATTCAGCAGATATTTACTGAGTGCCTAATATATCTATCTATGCACTGTGGCTAGCAATGAACAAATTCTATGCCATGACAATCTAAGTCGCTGGCACTTCAATTTTAGTAGGGGTGACAAGGCAGATGGTGATATACATGCTATAGGGAAATAACATGGAGTAATAGGGAGAGGGAATGCCAGCAGGAAAGAGGAGATTATTATTTTTAAAAGGACGAAGAAGGAATGTCACTCTGGGTAGGTTGCATTTCAAAAAGCTCTGAAGGGAGTGAGGAAGCAAAGGATGTAAATAACTAGAGGACCAATGCTCCAGGTAAAGGGAATGCAAGGGCAAAACTCTTTGGGGGAGAGGAGCATTGCGTTCAAGGAACATCAAGGAGGCCAGATCCGTCTGCAGTTCACTCAGAATCTCCAGGAATCTCCTTGTTTTGATCTTAGTGCTTCTAAGGTTTTAATATTAAACACGGGAGTGTATCTAATGTTTTAACGTTAAGTAGGACGCCAATGTTTGTGGAAGGTTTCTGCAAACTTTTTTTTTATCAAGTTGTAGAAGATTCATTCTATCTTCATCTAAGAGTTTTTACCATCAGTGGTGGTTTAATTTTATCAAATGCATTATAGTATCTGTTGAGTTAATCATATTTGTTTCTCTTTTATTCTGTAATATAGTGAATTACATTGAAAGATTTTCTAAAACTGAACCATCCTATCATTTTTGGAGAAATCTTACTTGGTTATGATGTCTTATTCTTTTGAATACTACCAACCAACTTGCTAATATTTTACATGGTGTTTTTGCATCTGTATTTACAAAGTGAATTGAGCCCATAGTTTTCTTGGGCTTATTCCTATTTTGGCATCAACACTATGCTAACCTTATCAAGTGAGTTGGGTATGTTTCTGTCTTTTTATGAACTACTGGTACAGTTTGTGTAAAATGAGAATTAATTAGTCTGAAGGTTTTGTAAAGCTTACTCAAGTTTGCAGCTTTAGAAGGTAGTTGGCATTTAAATACACTTACATAATTCTTCCTTAATTATTCTAGTTTTTCTACTTCTATATGAGATGAATATGTTCATTTTTATTTTCCTACAAAGTTACTACTTTCATATGGGCTTTCAAATATATTGACAAAAAAGTTACAACAATTTCCTTTATAATTGCATTTATGTTCTCTCTTAATTTCTTGGTGTTTATACATACCATTTTCTTACTTATACTTTCCAAATTGTGTCTATTTTTTTGGTCTTAAATTGATCACTTTTTTCTTTTTCTTTTTTAACAGCTTTATTCAGATATAATTCACATACCATACAATTCACCCATTTAAAGTGGTACAATTAGTTTTTAGTATATTTGCAGAGTTGTGCCACCATCACCACAATCAATTTTAGAATATTTTTGTCACCTCCAAAAGAAACCCCAAACCCATTAGCAGTCATTCTCATTTCTTCCCCCTGCCCCCTTACCCAGCGCTAGGCAACCACTAGTCTACTTTCTGTCTCTATGGATTTGCCTATTTTGAACAACTCCTATAAATGAAATCACATAATATTTAGTCTTTTGTGACTGGCTCTTTTACTTGGCATAATGTTTTCATTCCTTTCATTTCAGTACTTCATTCCTTTTTATGATTGAATAATATTGTTATATGGATATACTACATTTTGTTTATCCACTCATGAGTTGACGGACATTTGGGTTGTTTCCATCTTTGCCTATTATAAATAATGCTGCTATAAACATTCACGTGCAAGTTTTTGTGTTGACATATGTTTTATTTTTCTCAGGTATATGCCTAGGATTGCTAGGTCATGTGGTAACTCTATGTTTAATTATTTGAAGAACTGCCAACCTGTTTTCTAGAGCAGCTGTACCATTATATTCCTGCCAGCAATGTATGAGGGTTCCAATTTTTCCACATCCTCATCAATAATTGTTATTATCTATCTTTGCTATTATAGTCATCCTAGTGGGTGTGAAGTGGCATCTCATTGTGGCTTTGAGTTGCATTTCCCTGGCAGCTAATGTTGAGCATTTTTTCATGTGCATTATTGGTCATTTGTATATCTTCTTTGGAGCAATGTCTATTTAGATCCTTTGCCCTTTTTCTGATAGGGTTATTTGTCTTTTTTATTATTGAGTTGTATGAGTTTTTAACTTTCTAGTTATAAGTCCTTTATCAGATATGATTTCTAAAATTATTCTATGGATTGTCTTTTCACTCTCTTGATAGTGTGCTTTTAAGCACAGAAGTTTTTAATTTTTATTTTTTCTTGTTGCTTGTGCTCGAAGGCTTTTTAAAATTTTTATTTCTATTTTATTTTTCTTAATATATTTCTTCTAGTTTCTGAGTAGGCCTCACTCTTTTTTTCTAATTTCATGAGTCGAAAGCTCAGAACACCACAAAGATTGAAAGTACAAATAAATGCTACAAAATTTCCTCTGAATATTGCTTTGGCCACATAACACAGCTTTTGATAAATGTCTTCAGTTCTAAATAGTAAGCAATTTCTACTTCTATTTCTTCTTTTATCCAAGAATCATTCAGAATTAAAAAAAATTTCAGGTGACATATTTTATTATTTGAATCATATTTTTGTTTATTTTCAATGTATTATACTGCATTTGGTGAACTTGTCTGAAATTAGCCAAAATTTCATTTATAAAATTGTATAATACACAGACTAATTTTTAGCATTGTTCCATGTAAAAAGGAGATGTACTATTTTTTTCTGTCTCACATATAGTGCATAGACTGTTAATTAGATTATACAAATTTTCTGTCCCCTGGATTATTTTTTTCTACTTAATCTGTTGGTTTCTAAAAGGTGCCATTATGGTCTTACAAATTTCTCCTTTGAATTCTATCTTTTTCTTTATGAACCTCAAAGCGTATAAGCTTATAAGTGAAGGCTAAAGGCTGGTATGTTCTTGGTGGATTATTAATTTAATCTATAAGAAAGAGTCTTCATCTATTAATTTTTTTTTTGCTTTAAACTTTATTTTGTCTGATATTAATTTTGCTACCCATGTGTGGGTAAAGAGTTAACAAAACCTCTTCTCCTTCTGCATGAGAAACTGAAGTTGAGTTAACTTTCTAGCACTAGAACTGTGCTATATAACAGAGGAGCCACTAGCCACACATGGCTAGTGGCTCCCATACTGGACAGCTCAGAATAGACATTGGCATTGTCTCATAAAGTTATTTTGGATAGCACTTGTTCTAGAAAGTTGAGTTACTTTCCCTAGTTAACTTTCCCTAGAAGTAGAATTGCTAGATCAAAGGTAGGCACATTTAAAAATGACACATATTCTAAAATGTCAGCTAAAAATGACATACATTCTCCATAATGTGATGTCAATTTACACCTAATCAATTAGCACAAAAAAGTTCAATGTTTCCTACATTTCACAAGAAATGATATGATTTTTGGTTTAATTGTCACTTATCTGATTACTAATAAAATTAAACATGTTTTTACATGCTTGTCTTTTGCGACCTGTCTGCTTACATTTGGTCTAGAGATTAGTATAACTTGAGCACAAATGCTAGAAACAACCTTATTATTAGATTTTATATATTATCCATTCTCATAGGAAGTAAAACACTTTATTAAACTTTTTTTATTTTACCTCATCCAAGCAGTTGACACGAACATTCTTGCTGGCTAATAGTGTTCCAGCTTCTTGGACAGTACCTAAAAAAAAAAAAAAAATGCAAAGTAAAGTTATTTATCATTACAATAGGAAAAAAATCTAACATCAAGGAAACAAACTTTAAAGGGTTATTTGTAAAACTAAGACTTGTCAGGTTAGGTTGGTAAGACATAAAGCATCAATCACATACTGTTTATTCCACACAATAATTATCCAGAAGAACAGATTCACAGAAACTAAAATAGCTCCTTGTTTTTACTTCCACTGACCTTAGAGTATATTAAATTGGCCTCATTTTCCTTTTGGCAGTAATACAATAACCACAAAGCATGAGACTCTTAATAATGAAACAAATCTTAAAGGGCTCCTGGTCCAATCCACTATCTAAAGCTTAAATTCCAGTCAATGTAATAATTGGAGTTCAAAATACAGTCAGTATTTATATACTTTGCCATTGCTAGGCCCTGTGAATTGATGGCATGCTTATAATAGAATTCTTGGTTTGGAAACGCTTAGGTAAACACATCTTTAAAGCCTGGTACTATATAAAAGTGTCCTATGGTCAGTGTTCAGACTCTCACGCTGCAAGTCATCTAATGTAAACCTGAAGGTCAGTCTCTGTAAATTTGGAAATAAGCTATAATTGGGCCACAACTGTCAGTTTTTTCCAGTCTTCAGTAAGACCTACTGACAAAAGCAAGCAGTTGCAGGAGAGAATGTTGCTATTATCATCGTTAATAAGAGCCAGTCACACGTTCTGACAAAAAATTTCCTGTTTGACTGGGAAGAGAACGACGAAATTGAATGTTCTCAGGGAGAAAGGATGAGATAAGCCTCTCCTCTAAAAGGACATAAAAGAATAGACGTATCTCCCAACTAGGAGTTATTTCTCCTCTTTAAATTTAGAATTATAGTTCAAGAATGTGCTAAATTCTGCTAGTCTTCCAGAGTTAAAGGTGGAATGCAGAATAAAGATTGGCATGCTTCTTCCTCCCCAACCTGCTTCTTAAGCAAGCATCCGAATGCCCCTCACCAACAGAGGGGAGACAGAGAAATGGCTCTGCTGTGGAAATGTCAAGTAAATGATTTACAAGTCCCTGGATTAAGACAGCAGCTATTCTGTAAATAGTGCATTTTTCTGACCCTGTACTCCATCTGAGGGCAGTTGATATCACTGGCTGAATGGCTACAGGATGAAAGGAGAAAGCCTTCAAGCATGCTAGCAAGTTCTACATGGAAGCTTATCCATACCTGTGGCTTCTCATCAGAGAGTCTCAAACATCTTTAGAGAGGAATTAAAATAGAACAAAAACTCCCGCACCCCAATTTCACTTGAGGAAGAGGCTTCAGCTGAATCCCATTATCCACTGAGGAATAACTGAAGTTATTTTCCATCTGACCAGGAGATGTTTACGCAGTAAAAGGAGAATACTATAGAGATTCTGAGCATGTCAAAGCCTGCTACATGTTAGGAGGTGGATGGGGATTACAATCATAAACATTTGGCTCATGTTAGAGAACAGACCAATAATCCTATAAAATGTTTAGCCCAATGGCCAACAATAGAAGTTAAATCTGTCTAGCGAAGGAGCAATTGGGAAAAAAAAAAAAAAAAGATGAAGCGTGCACTAACACCCCACTGAATACCAGGTAGTCTTTGGAAACGCAGGGACCAGGATGAGAAAATTTTTCTGAAATGGTTTGGGCTTCTAGAGAACAAGAACAGATTTTGGAAAATAAATGAGCAAAATACCCCAAGAGGAAAAACTTGCGATGATTTCTAAATCCGTGTTCCTAATTTAATGACGTTAATAGGAAACTACAGAAGGTCTAGAATAGCATGGAAATGTGAGACACACGGCTCACGCAGAAGGATTTTTATTTTTGGTCATTCCTTAGTGTCCACAGCAGATTCTCCAACAATGTTTTGCAAATAAGTTTGAAAAATTAATTGCTTTACTCTGGAAAAGAAATGAGTTAAATATGATTTAACAAACTTTTAAGATGGGGAAATACAGTACTCTAAGGGGAATGTGAAATGAGCCAACATTTATCTTCAGTGGAGACAAAAATTAACAGACCTATTACTGATGAAAGTAGTATTTAATGATTGGTTTCCCTTTTGAAAATTTCTCCAAGTCGCTCAAACCAAAGAAGAAAACACAACCCCACCTGCTTCATTAGGGTGGGATTAATCATCTAGGCTGGCCATCTGGATGGGCCAGCATTTTAGCAGAGAAGACACGATGCTAACAGTGATACTCTCACTGTTACTTCCTCTCTGTTACCACACTGCAGCCCTTTCAGGAGCACTGTGAGATGGAACAAGTCCTGTAAACCCTCAGCCTCCTCATCTATGAAGCAGAGAGAGTAGTACCCATCTCAGAGGATTCTGAGAAGGACTACGGGCTTGTCCTAACGTGGGGCACACTGTGCACCCTCAGTGCATATTAGATGCTCTTGTTATTTTATATCCAGAGCAGCACAATATAATTCATCGTAACATTTCTAATATCTAGATTGGGACCATTACTCTCTACTGAAGACAAAAGAGATGTAGCCAAAACAAACAGAAAGGGAGAAACGAACAAACTTGTAACATTTCTGTTTCCAGCAATCTATCAGATAACCATGAGAACTGAATATGTATGAGTTTGAATCATTTAGTGGGATCCCCGAAGAAAAGGGATGCTTTAAGGAATTTATATCCTTTAAATTTTTAAAGTAAAATATTTAAAAAACTATTTGGCTTGTTAGTTGCTATAATGTTTATGTATAAGTAAAAAAATGTATAAAACATTTAAAGTGGCTAAATTTTAAAATAACAATATATGGATATTTATTTAATTAGATATATAGTTAAAAATGTATTTTTAAAGTAGACTTCTAATTATAACATACATTTTGAAATAGTGCATTTGTTTAGTGTGAATTTTCTATAAGTTCTCCTACTTATATCTACTTTTAGACTTTGTAACAAAATGGTCTTAAGTTAGGAATATGAATCACTACATAAAAATTAGAGTATCTAAAAGAGCTGTTGTTTTGTAAATGAAGACAATGAAGCTGATAGAGGTTGCATAACCTGCCCAGTCATATAGTTCATGGTAACTATATATTTTAAGTTAAATTTTTCTTTGAACTCTATACTATAATTGATTATTAGCAGACCTGAATCTTTCTAGACCATAAAGATACTAGAAATAACATTATTAACTACACAGGACCTTAGAGCAGGATCTTTTTTTAATAGTTCAAAATTGGAAAGAACAGAAATGTCCATCAATGGGAATGGATAAGCAAATAGTGGTATATCTATACAATGGAAATAAAGGAAAAAAGAAGAAACAAACCATTGAAATAAAGAAATAAACATCATGAATGAACTTAAAAATCATGACGCTGAGTGAAAGCCCTGCAAAAAACAAAACACAACTATGATTTATATGATTCCACTTATATAAAATTCTAGAATAGAGAAATCCAATCAATAGAGACAGAAACCTATCAGTGGTTGCGTGGAGAGAGGGGTGGAGGGAGTGACAGATTACAAAGGGGCATGAAGAAACTTTTGGGGGTGATAGAACTGTTCATTATCTTAACTGTAGTGACAGTTTCATGGATGTATACATAAGTCAAAACTGATTTAAAAAAGTGTCCACTTTATGTACCATTTATTGTACTTTAATTACACTTCAGTAAAGTTGGTGAAATAAACTTTATCATCTAAGCCTGTTTCACAGCTCCTTTTACACAAATAATGCAAAAATAAACAGTAAATACATTACTTTCTTGTTAAGTCAGCAACAGTGATCCCAGGGATTTCAGGTACTAAACAAGAAAAGTAACGGAAGATCTGGTTCACATGCTTAAAGAAGGTTTAATTTATTTTAAAATAGTGCTTAATGAAAAGGATATCCGAACTTAGAAGAGTGGGTCAATCTACAAGTAATATAAGCCAGTTAAATTTGCTTCAGTGATTTCAATTTTCTCTTCTTAAATGTTGGGAAATGGATGCTGTCATCAACTATGATTTAAATGGGTATATAGGAAACAGCTTCTCGCTTTCATCTGGAACTTCTTTTTGGCATTCTAACAAATACACAATCTGTAGAATACCTAGCACGTGAATTCTCTCAGAAGAAGAAGTTGTTCTAAACGTGCCCAGAAGCAATGTGCAGTATTCTTTGGACGGTAAGTCCCACTTACAGTCTGCTTAACTTCTGGAGGGCAGTGATTGGCAGAAGGGAGACACTCAAAAATCTGCTGAGTTTATTTCAGATTGGCCAAGATGACAGGTCACACTCGGCTGAAAATGTACTGTTAGTTCCAAGTGCTAGTACTGACTGATCTAGTGCTTCTCAACGTTGAGAAACGTACCAAAGAAAAAAAAATTAGAACTCCACCCATCTGCTTAAAAAAAGAAGCCTAATTATTAGAGTACAAATATAAACTCTGCTTATGTAATTCAACTATAAACCAAAAATTATTTTACAAATTAAATGCACACAAAACTACAAAATCAACAACATTTAAAATTAAAATTAACTTAACTTGACAGATGATAATGTTTTGCTGAAATTAAATTGCCTCTCAAAGCAAATATGGTACGGACTCTTATGGTGCTGGCTTCATTTTTGTTTAGTCTGTTTTCAAGCCCACATATTTCTAGGACTATGGGCCACATAATATCTCTGCTCTGCCACTTATTACCTGTGTGACATTGGGCAAGTTATCTAACTTCTCAGTTCCCCAGTTTCCTTGTCTACAAAGTGGAGAATACCATATTTACCATAATAACAGCAACACAAATAGTATTTTAAATGCTTTCCATACTCATTTCATCCTCACAACAATGCTGTGAAGTGGGTACCATTTTTCACAGGGAGAAGCTCAGAAACAGTAACTTGCCCAAGGCCACATCACCAGCAAATGATTGAGGTAGGATTCCAAATCAGACCTGCATGATTAGGAATGCTGTAGCTTAAAAATTCCTAGCTCATCAAGATTAAATGCATCAATACATGTAGAGAGCTAAGAATTATGCCTGGCTCATAATAACATTCAATAAACGTTTGCTATAGTTGCTATTTTCTCACATTTTGCATTACTTTTCTTTGAGCGTATAGTGATGACCCACAGACCTTCACTTGACAAGAATGTATCACATACTAAGTCCATCTCAGTTCTCTTCTCATGGGCTGGGGCCAAATAAATTGGTGAAACACAGCGTCTGTGCACTGGTGCAACTTTATGCAGGATGTGGGCCCAGAAATATCACAGCACTAACCAGACTAAATTCCCATTAATTCTCTTTCATTTAGTCTTTAAAATAAAAACTGGCAGACACCTAAGAATATATCCAAGGATTCCCCCCGCCCCCCACTACCACCTGCCCCTTTCAGAGACTCACTTTACAATAACTGCTCACTGGTTTAAACTTTTGAGAGAACATGATAGCCCTGCACTATTTAAAAAACAGAATTTGCATCCCTGGTGGATTTTGAGTTGATCCTTTGTCTCCTTTTTGCCCAGCACAGTACCTGGCACACAGCGGGGACTCATGTGTTTGCTGAATTGAATTCCAGCGCCACCAAAGGCAGGAAGAAATTACCCAGAGACAGACAGAATAGAAAGACCGCAGTGCCAAGTAGGTCAGCGGGGACCGTGCAGAACAAACAATGAAAACACCAATTCAAAAGTCCTACAATTCTAGGCAAAGGACACTTAGGATAAATAGAGCTGTGATAGACTTACAGCTGTTGAGATCAGACGGGGTGGGCTCAGCTCATCAGCACCTGTTGAGCTCAAATCCGATTTTTTTTTCCTCCTTTACATTTAGACTTTCCTCGTCGCTATGAAGACTAAATCTGCCTTACTCTCTGGGGGGGTCCAGATTTGAGCCTGGCTACCTGGATAGACAGAAGACTGGAAACCGGGAAGCCTTTATGTTGCAATGACTTGCCTCTCTGCCATTCGAGGGCAGGCGTGCCTACCTCATTCTTGAGCTTAAAACAACCACATTAACTGTGCCCGCAGTCCCACGCAGCACCCCCATCCCTGCGCCGTGACGGGTCAGGAGAAGCCACGTAGTCACACTGATGTCACCTGCCAGGTAACGGGACTTAGCGGGAAACTCCTCTGGGACATCTTCTCGGGAACTGAGAGGAAAACACGGCTTCTGGCTCGTCCCCGGGGCCTGAGTCTCCCTTCCCACGACCCCGAGCGGCGGAAGTGGGACACGCGTTGGGAGAGTGGAATGGAAAGAGCGATCAGAAGATCCCGGCGGTGCCAAGTGCGCCGAGAGCTGCGCCTCGCCACCTCTCCTCGCTTCTCTTCGGGTTCCTGAGGCGGCCGTGGGCTTCTCGAAGGAAGCCAGGGAGGCCCTGGACGCAAAAGCCTCAATGAGGCAAATTACAGACCTAGTTCTGTGCCCTTATAAAGAACTCCTCTCACTGGGAGCTCCCTCCACCCCCAAGCGGGGGCGGGGACATCCAAAGCATCCAGATCTTTCGGCCTCCGGAAGTCGAAACGGCCCTTTAGACACCCGTCTAAGAACCTGAAACTACCAGGTCACTGTCGCCAAGACGGACCGTGGTCAAAATCACCCGAGGAGTTTTGAAGAATGCACATCCTGGGGCCCACACCCCAGGGTCACTCTCTATAATGTGAAATAGAGCCTGGAAATGTGTCCCTTTCCAAAGCTGATTTAGAGGACGAGCCTCTGCATTCTTCCCAGCAGTACTCTTCCCGCCCCACCGCTCCGCCCCCGCAACGGGGTCCCAGACCAAAGGGAGAAACACTATTTCCCGGTCCCAGGCTGCCAACCTCGCAGAACCGCAGCCAAGGGTCAGCCGAGCCCAGGGGTCCCTCCCAGGCTCCACCACGCCCCCCGGCCAGGCTGGCAGCGCCCCCATCGCAGCCCAGCACCCATACCTTTCCCGATGACTTCCAGCAGCTCCTTTTCCTCCTGGGTCAGCTCGCCTTTCTTTATGTGAACCATTGCTCCCGCCAGCTTGAAGGTTTTTCAGTTTCTTTGGAAGTATTAAAAAGAAACGATGTGTCTGTGGTAGGAATGCCAGCCTCAATGAGGCAACCACGACACTGAGCAACCAGCCGCGGAAGCGTTCGTATTCTCTCCTCCCTCTGCCGGGCCGGCGAGCAGCGTGCGAGCTCGGGCGAGCCGGGCCGGCGGTGTCTGCAGGCCCAGCGGCAGTCCCCGCCCCCCGCGCGTCATTGGTCCGGCCGGGAGGAGGAGCTACAGGAGGCGGCAGCAGGAGACTCCCATTGGAGCAGCCTGGGGAGGAAAAACCAAATAGAGAAAACCAGAGGGGGGGAATTAAATTCCTCTTACACGTTCCTCCACCCCGTCCAGTCAAGTCAGAGAGTTAAGGACACGCAATATTTAAAATTCTCTACCTAGAAGTTCCGTGTCCGATTATGGCTGCTAAGGGGGTACAGAGGTCCCCTGTTCTCGCTACACCTTCCTCATTTCCCCGGGAGTGGGGCGGCTCCGGCAGGGGGTGGCCAAGGAGGCAGGGGCGGTGCGGGAGGCGGGGCTGCGCCGGGCTCCGTGTGTCGATGTCAATGTGTCTGTCCTTCACTCCTCCATTGTCTGCCGCCGCCGTTGCCGCTGCTGCCGCCGCTGCCAACGCCGCTGCCGGAATCGCCGCAGCCCCCCAGCCTCGCGCGTCGCCGCTTCCTCCTCGGACAGGTGAGAAGCAACCCAGGTGGGGCCGAGGGAGCCGGGAGGGCTGCGGGAGCGGCGTGCGCCGCCTCGCCGGGGGCTTCACCCGGACCGGAGCTAGCCGCGGGGAAGCATGTGCCTGCTGGGGCGGCTTCCTGCCTCTCGGTGGAGAAGCTTCCCCTCCACCTCTTACCATCACATATACCGCGTAGCAGTGCCCTGGAGTGAAGACCCGCCACTTGCCACATTTGGCCGCCCCGGGAGACCCTGGGACTGCGAGCGCGCGGGGGTCGGCCACGCGGTGGGAAGTGGCGGGTGCACTTCGTCTCGTGCGTGGCAGCGCCAGATGCGGCTCCCGGGAGGCTGGGGCTCTGGGCTAGGGGTGGGGTGGGGAGGAGAGCTCCCCATTACGAGCGAGGTGAACGCGTGATGAAAGTAGTCTCGGGAGAAGGTAGTTCTCTTTTGGCAAGCCTCAAAACGCCTCCCCCCGCCTCTACTTGTCATCTCCTCTGGCCTCTGTGGAAGCTGTAGAAGAAAACCGGATCTGATCGCCCTATGGTGCCTGTTAAGGATATTTGGAACCAATTTCCACTTGCACTAATACTTCGTTTATGAGAGACGGCTTGGGGGGAGGAAGGGCCTCTTCGTCGCTCTGCTAGAGTTCCCAGTCTCTTTGTAACTCAGATCTTAAGATTTATGGAAATAGGGAGGGGAGGGGTGGGGGCGGAGATTAAATTGGTGTTGCTGTCTATATATAGCCTTAGATTAGCCTCTTAATCCAACCTCAATTCAACTGTAATATGTAGCCTCGAGCTTAGACCATAGGTAGCTGGCGGGTACATACAAGTGTGTACCCTCCTGTGGCTCAGTAACAGGACTGCTTGCTAAAATGAAGTCAGTTATTCCTCCAGGATATGCAACCATAACATATTGATGGCATCAATGAAAGCTTCTTTAGAAATTAGTGTTTAGGTTTTACTGTTGTTTCTCTACAGACTAGTACTGATGTTTCTCCCAAGACCCATCTGCTTCGAAGAGAAATATTTGAATAATTATCTAGATGGTTTTTGTTAAGCATCCCCTACCACCACTCTTTCTCCCCACAGTGCCATATATAAAATGAAATGCATTTTCCTGTGGCCTTATGCCTTCATTTTTTTGAAGTATTCACTAACACTTCTGAATCCTGGAAGATGTTCATCATTATTTCCTGCCTTTCACAAAAATCTTTTCTAAACCCCAGCTGTTTTCTTTTCTAAGGCTTCATCTTTAGAGGCTGGGGCAGATCTGAGCCAGAACATCTCACATGAAAATGGTCTGAAATTATTCGTCTCAATGTATAACAAGGAAACTTTTGTTGAATGTTGCTTTAATAATGATGTGGCTGTTCACACAACAAGTAGTAAGGCTTTTGAGAGTGAGAGTGACCAATCTTTTGTAACACTTAGAATGCTATTAGTGCCACAGTTACAGTTGATTTAAAACACAGTATCCTGCAGAAGGAACCCACAAACCTAAGAAAATGTTTGCTAGTAACCTCCCCTAACCTGTGACTTAACATCTTGCAGCGGATGCATGGCTAGAATTGGGTACTTCATTGCCAGTATTTCCATCTCTTGTGCCAAATTTGGGCCATGGTTACTTGAAGGTCACACCTGTTTGTCTTGCTGGGGTTGTCAGTTCCTCGAGGATAGCAATTTATTATCTATTTTCTTGATGCCTTATGGCCCCTGGTTGGTATTTAGTCCGCTATGAATACATGACTTCAGTAAACTTAGAGTAAATGACATTTAAAGTCAAAAGCTAACTTCTACCTAGAAATGCAGGTAAAGAATATGTTTCAATTTCTAGAAACAGACACATAATGAATACTGTTCATCAAATGGATTACCTTATTCATTTTGTACAGTGTAAATTTTTAATTTGGAAATAAGATTAGCTAATGAGCATGCCTGAGACTAGATTAAGGAACTTTTCTTGTGCTAAGAATGTATTTACATCAAAGAAGTTTTCTTTTACTTGATAATAAAATAGCTACTACTTAGTGAGTATTTAGTCTGTGCCAGATATTCTACCAGATGCTTTGTATAGGATTATTTTAATCATTGTTATAGTGACCCAGGAATTAGCCAATATTATCCATATTTCTGCAAATAAGAGGACAGAACTAAAAGAAGTTAATTTGACCATGGCCTCACAGTTAGGAAGTGTGGGAGCCAGAATTAGAACCTAGATCTTTCTCCAAAACCTTTTCTCTTTTCTCTATTCTCTGCCTATGTGGCTGGCAGTAAGGGGGAAAGTATATATTCTAACTAGCTAGTGGATAATACATTCATGTGGTTCAGCATGCCAAAGGGACAAAAGCCTCTCTCCTACCTCTTTCCCCAGTCCCTTCTCCGTGCCCTGCAACCTATGTTATCTATTTCTGTCATATCGTTCCTGAGATATTTTATGATTTATAGCTTAGATGTCTATTTCTACTTTTTTTTTGTGTGGCAGAAATAGAAGTATACTAACACTGTGTAATTGAATTGGTATGACGCTTTGGTCTCTTCCATTTCTTTCTTCACTTTTTTAAAAACAATGATTTCTGAAATATCTGAAATCCTATGTGTCCCCTCATCTCTTTTCTGCTACTCCCACCCTAGACCTCCCCTGGCCTATTGCAATGGATTCCTAAGTAGCCTGCTTCTCTCTAACCTCGCCCCATCCAGCTAATTCAAGGAACCATCACTTCAGTAAACACTGAGCACCCATCATCCGCCCAAAGATGAAACATGTTCTGAAAGACCGAACTGATTCACTTAAAATGTGTCAATGGCTTTCCACTGGCCACAGAATAGAGACCCAAGTCTAGCCTGGGAGGCTCCAACTTCTGGTCCCAGCCAGCATTTCCAGTCAGCCAGCCCCTCCCACACGCTCTGCTCTAAGGTCACCACACTGCTGGTTCCCTCACTTACCAGTAATTTCCACCCCTTTGTTCCTGCTTCTCTCTTTCTGGAATGACTTCCCTTCCCTCTTCACTGATTCTCTCTCCTCCCCAGATCTTATGAACCGCTCAACTTTCAAGATACCACTTATATGTAACCTTTTCTCTCCAGCTTTCATGATCATCTCTCCCACCCCATCCAGTGAGAATACAGACCTAGTAAACACATTTATTCATGTCCCTCAGCAAAGGGGATAAATAAAATCTTTACACAGGAGTTGCTGGTACAATTATTGGCATCTTCTAATCGTCTCCTATCTTCTTATGAGCTCTAGTCTTCCCCACCCCCTAAATTGCTTCTTCCTCTGGATCTCCGTGAAAATGCCCAAAGCAGGCACCTTTTCAGGACATTCGAGTATAGTTATTATTAATCTATTTGATTCCTTCTCCTTCCAGACTATAAATTAACTAGGACTAATTTACGCTTGTTTCTCAAGAGTGTAACCCAGAGTCTTGCACCTAGTGTGTGCTCAGTACATGCTGAGTTGAATTCAATTTGATCCCTAAGTTATTTTAGGGGGATTTATTTCTCTACTTGACTAATCCTTCCTGGCAGTGTGAGGTGATATGCCACTAAGCACGCACAGTCATAACCAAGGGCAGATGGTCTTTAAATGTTTTGGGTCTCAAGCTGCTTGACATTCTGATGAATGCTATCAACCAAGAAAAAAATTGTTCGTATGCACATGTTAGAAATTTTGCATACCATTCTTGGACCCCCCTCCCCCCCATTAAAGCCCCTGACCTCCAACTCTCTGCTTTAAGAGAGTGCTGTTTCCTTTTCATTGCAGGGGAATGGCTCATTTTTGACTATTTTGTCTTTCAGGGTGATGTTTTCCTTGACATTTGACTTTCTTTTCTTAGACTTAGGTACATTTATTGACTGGGTGGATATTTGATGATAATGAGAAGTTTTATTTTCTTTTAGGTTTGAAAATAATATTGTGCTTATATTTTTAAAAGATCCTTAATCTTTTAGAGATACATACTGAATTATTTAAGGAGGGAATGATAGGACATCGGAGATTTGCTTCAATATAATTCTGTGACAGTGGGGACAGGGACTGACTAAGAGTATAAATGAGACAAAGTTGACTATGTTGTTAACGATTGCAGCTGGGCAGTGAGTACATTGACTTCTTTATATTGCTCTCTCTACTTTTAGATACGTTTGAAATTTTCCATAATGAAGTTTTAAAAACAAAAATTTGGAAGTATTACAGCCTCTAACAAGTTGTTATGGTTTTTTTTTAAACAAAACATGAAGTAATAAATACAAATGCTGTTTCTCTGTACTTGGAGTTTAGCTTATGCAATTATTCATTTAAATGTTAAAACACTTACAACCTAAATCTGCAAAGACTGTCTTGTGAAGAATGCATTTCCATAAACTGTTCACATCACATGTTAACTTCTCCACAAAACTAAAAGGTAGGTGGCATTACTCAGTGCTTGTGTCACAGGCTTATGAATATCTTACTGACAGCTAATCTTCGTCTTTTTTGGAAACTGACAAAGTAATTTGCAGACAAGTCTGAACAAGGGGTGCGAAGATATT